GTGAACAGGTAGATAGCTCTCGGAGGAGAGCGACCTGTTGATGTTGTATTCGAGTTGACACAGGAGGCAGGGTTCACATATATTCAGACAATCGTTGGACGTAGTCTGATTCACCGAAATCGTTACTGCTCCATGGCGTGAAAAATTCCCCAGGCAGACGCAATGTCGTGCCGTATACAAGTTCAGCGGCGAAACATTGAATATCTGCCATTAAGCTCCTTCTGATATCTAAGAGGATGAGCGGCAAGGTTTCGTAACAGTTGTCGTTTTCGTGTGCTTGAAGAGCGCTTTTGAGTTGGCGGCGTAACCGTTCAACTAAACCATTTGATGCTGGGTGGTAGGCGGTAGTGCGTATGCGTTCCGTACCAAGCAGTCGGGTTAGCGAGGAGAATAATTCGGACTCAGATTGTTGTCGTCGGTCGGTCGTGACAGCCGAGGGACAACCGTGCTGCGCCATCCATCGTTCCACGAGATGGTGAGCAACTGTCTCCGCCATAGTAGACGTGATGGGTGTAGGTTCGGACCAATCTGTGAAACGATCGATGCACGTGAGTATGTGATTGTGCCCGTGCGATGGTGGAAATGTTGGTACAATGTCTATATGAACGTGATCGAAGCGAGCATCTGGTGTAGCGAACGTGCCGATGGGGGCACCTAAGTGCCTGTGCACCTTTGATCGTTGACATTGGAAGCATTGCTTTATCCATATACGGACATCTTCATTCATGGATGGCCAGACGTATCGCGCGGCAATGAGGCGTAGTGTGGCTGTGATACATGGATGAGACAGTTTACGCAGGGCAGAGGGTACGATGGGTTGGGGAAGACCAGTAGAAGTATCGCACAGGATAATACCTGAGTTAGTAGCTAGGGGTATTTACCTGTACTGAAAGGAATGTAGAATGTTGTGCTTCTGTAAAGGAGGAAGATAAAACACCGGTAAAGTAACTGCGTTCACTTGGTTACGTGACAGAGCATCGACAACATTGTTTGACCCCCCTCTAACGTGATGAAGGTCTGTCGTGAACTAAGAGATGTAGTCCAAATGTCTGCACTCTCGTGCTGAGCAGCGGTCAGACTTGGCATGCAGAGCATACGTTAAAGGCTTGTGGTCGGTGAATAAATAAAGTGGCGTCCTTCTACTGCGTGCCGGAAATGTTTGATTGCACAGTAGGCTGCTAGTCGTCCTTGACCGAAGGCGCTATATCTCGTCACCGCGACAGTGAGACGTCGTGGGAAGAATTCGAGAGGATGCCAACTTCAAGAGATGTTCTGTTGCATAACGGCCCCTATAGCAAAATCCGATGCATCAACCACTATACTAAGCGTGGCTGATGGGTCAGGATGAACGTGGAATGTGGCTTGAGTTAGAGCCGTTTTGATCTCTGAAAATGCAGTACAGGCGGCATCGTTCGATTCCGATTTGCGTGGATTACAGCAAAGTAAATCGGTCAGTGATCGTAACCGTTCTGCCGCGTGTGGGATGAAACGTCTGTAGAAGTTAACTAAACTGAGAAATGCCTTCTGTTCTTTGAGTGTGGACGTCACAGTGTGCTCCATTATTGCACGTACTTTGTTCTCGCAAGGTAAAATACCCTCTTGCTTAATGATGCGACCTGAGAATTTTATTTATGGTTTGCCTAGTTCACACTTGTCCGGATTGACTATTATTTTATTGTCCGAAAGGCGCAGGAATGGGAGTGTTAGATGCTGATAATGTTAATCTACTTTTGATGATGCGACAGATGTGAACAAAGTCTAAGTCTCGCACTATGCTATCGATAAACCTTTGAAAAGTTTGAGCAGCATTCCGTAATCCAAATGGCATTCGTAGAAACTCAAACAGACCAAAAGAAGTCGTGATAGCGGTTTTCTCGATATCTTCAAGAGCGACTGAGAGCTGATGATATGCTCGTACCAGATCGATATCAGAAAAAATTGCCGTGCCTTTGAGTGATGCCGTGTATGTAGGGGACGAAGTAAATACGTTTAATGCTCGGTAGTTGCCGCATGGTCTCCAACTAGCTGCATCCTTTCTGCGAACCGTGTGAAGAGTTGAGGCCCAGGGACTGTGAGAAAGACGGATAATACCAGTAGATAGTAAATTGCCAAACTCACGTTTGGTGAAAGCTAATTTGTCCGATTCCAGTCGGCGAGGTTTTTCCGTGACTGTGGGTCCGCGGGTGACTATATGTAGGACCACATGGTTTGTCACTGATGGGATCTTCTCGAGAGGTTTAGTCAATTGGAGGAACTTCTCGATTAATGCGTGGAATATATAGTCACACTGATGAAATATACCTAAGATTCGGCACGGGTTTTTTGAGCTTTATAGCCCATGAATTTACTGTTCGACGAAGTATCGATTAGATGAAACCTAAAGGGATCGACTAGCAATTCGTAATGTTGTAGGGAATCAATACCGAGTATGGCTGTGAGAACATCGGCAATGATGAACGTCCACAGATGCTGTCTTCGGTTGCTCATGTTGACCGTGAGCTATCGTGAACCATAGGTATGAATGACAGCCATTCGCAGCGCTTTGTCGAAGCTTTGTAGCTTGTGACTTACTGTTACTAATAAGTACGACGGAAACATGGACACCCGTATCTACTAGGTTCGTGGCGTCAGTGCAGTAATCATGCACATATGGTAAGTGGCCAACTTGAGGTGAGGGACCGGCGAGTACAGGTGCATTTACTCGTTGGCTCGGGAGTTTCCCCCTTGTATGAGCAGGGGGCTCGATAACGGCTGGCGCCGGAACCGAACGCACAGTAAACCAGCACCAACCCGTACTCGCTTCCGAAACCGCCTTTTGACGTGACTTGGAAGATGTGGTGGTAGAGATTCGGGCCATAATTCCTGAACGATTTCGGAATCGTCTGTCGTGGGTCCTGCGAGAGATTGCAGCCGCGTGAGCTGATGGCTCGGCCGTGACGTGCTAATAATGTCCTCAAGCGTTTCTCACTCGATGGTCTTAGGTCTGAGGATCGCCTTCTTGAGACGATCACAGAAGCTAAGTACATTGGGTTTGAGGACAACTTCACGAACAACAGCAATGTGATCCCCTGGTAAAGTTTCCAGAGCATAAGAGTATTTCTGCCGTTTGTTTAGAATGCGGCGTATCTCGAATTGGGACTCGAGTGCCAGGAACCAAACTTCTGGATCATGTGGAATAAAAGGGTACACCTAAACAAACAGGTACAGTAAAACAATTACTGGTACGATTTGTTATTATAATAGTTTCCATTATTCCAATCGTGTTCTCTTCATACAAGTAGGTCACTACAAGGCTGAGGATATATTCTTCGTAGCGAAGATGGTACTTTTGTAACTTTACAACAAAAAGTGTTTGAGTAATGCAAGAACACATTAAATAATAACTCCACAAACATGGCGCTAATGACCTTCTTGAAGAACAGTATTTTCAAACATTTCAACGATCGCTTTCTAAGTACGCCGTTGAGAGCTAAACCAGTAGGACTCGGTAGGACTCTCAGTTATTCTGGGCATTGACTTCGTGTGTCTGAAACTGTAGTACTCAAACAAAGACGCTCGACCTGGTCTGATTATAGTTTGTTCTGCTGTACTGAGGAAGCGGCTTCAACTTTACCAAGACCGCTTAGCTTGATGTTTTCACATTCGTTGAGCAGATTCGCGGTGTCAGAAAGTTGAAGGCCGGTTAATTATACACAAATTTTTGGAGGAGGTCAACGCACCAAGCTTTCAAGCTGAAGACTGGTACAGCTTACCTCAATTCCCTCAAAATTTATGGAGTCCATTAAATGCGAAGGTCTACGTAAACACATACTATCTATAAACTCCAATTTCTTTTATGATTAAGTTTACTTAGGTATCTACCTTGAGGCATCGGTGATCCACTGCTACTAGATAAGGAAGCTCGTTAAATGAAAGCTTCTATTTCAACCAGATTCGTTTAACGCATTTGAATGTCCTAGTGGGGTCCCCCAGGGCTCAGTACTAGGGCCTCTTCTCTTCTTGATCTACATAAATGATCTTCCTCAACAGGTAACGTCAGACATTACTTTTTGCCGACGACGTGAAACTTTGGAGAGAGATACGCAACCAAGACGATATACAGGCACTTCAGGAGGATCTGACTCGACTTCAAAGTTGGGCAGATAATAACGGACTTACCTTTAACACTTCAAAGTGTAAAGTAGTCCATCTGCGACATGTCGCAAACTACAGTTACAACTTAGGAAACTCCTCTCTAGTAGTATCCCAAGTCGAAAAAGATTTGCGAGTCCTGATGCCCCATGATTTGAAGTCTTACGCTAACTGTTACAAAAATGCCTTCCGAGCAAACCTTGCACTGGTAACGTTGAAGCGCATTTTTGGACAGTTTGACGGACGAACTTTCCATACAATCTTCAATCGTTTCATCCGTTCCCATTTAGAGCACGGAAACATAGTACTCCCCCTCACTCCAAAAGGACAAGGTCACCTTGGAGCGTATCCAACGTCGAGCCACGAAATCAGTTCGAGGACTCAAATCTAAACCTTACGAAGAACGCCTCCATTCAGTAGACCTTTACCCATCAGAGTATAGGCGTCTTAGAGGCGATTTATTAATGGCTTATAGTATTCTTAACACTTCTGGACATCCCCTAAAACAACAAATTAAGCTTAGTTCCAACACTAACCTAAGGGGTAACACCCAGAAACTGGAGACACATCATAGCAAAACGGAATGTAGACATAACTTCTACTCCCTAAGAGTTGTCAAAAGCTGAAATTCGCTGCCGACCGAGCTAGTCCAAGCGACTTCTCAGGAGTCCTTCAAGAGGCAACTTGACCTATTCTTAAGGACCAAGGACAGCATCACACTATGATTTACCAATTTCTTTTCTTCTTTTATTGTTAACATACCTAGGTTCCTGCTTGGAGGATTCGGTGATCACCTGCTACTAGACACGGAAGCCTATTAAGCGAAAGCTTCTTTTATTCGGTCCATAACCATTTGAACCATTTGAACGTGATTGGACATTGAGGGTTGCGGCGAATCTTCAAAGTGAGCGTTATGTGATTAAGTTATTTGTGAATCATACGGGGTATTTGTTTAATTGATTAACTAGAAGACATTGCATTCATTAATATACACTCCTCCAAACATCGGTTTTACTTTCTACTGTACATATGACGTGAAACCTTGACTCATAATACATTATTCAGATTTCTCCATTAAATACAACAGACTGGTTATTACATAGCGGCATTTCTTACGCTTGTTTACAGTTTTTAGTAAAATTGAAAGTTCAGGAATTCAGACAGCTTCTGATGACATGTGCCGGTTTCTATTTATGACCTTGCCAATCATGCTTATATATTTTCGTTCACTTATGTATCTGTAGTCTCATTAATTGTTCATACTTAGTACACTAACTTTACAAATAGTACTAATCACTTCGAATGGAGTTGGATCTGCTGGTAGTACATCTCTACTCTGCACCCAACTATTACCGTCTGTCTGCTACTTAAGTAGCAAACGGGTATATTGCTAATTTGTTACTAACGCCAATTAGTCACATTATGTGTGGATGTCGTTGACAAATTATATTGCATCACCTTATCACGTAAGATCAAATTGGGGCCAAAAACGGGAAATACGTGCAAGTCGAACATACAAAAACATTAGTACAATTAACAATGTGATGATCCATAATGGGATACATAGAGCATATGCTTCATGACTAACTAATGGTTTTCCAAAAGTATAAACAGAATGCGAGCGTATAAAATCTACTTCCTGGTGAAATTCTCTACAGTGAGACCCATTCTAATAGTCTTATAAATCATTGTGAAATTTCGTCAAAATATGATAAATCGACCTTGTGTTATCCCAAAATAATGAGGATTAAGTGTCAGATTTTTCTCAGTCAGCACGGTCACATGCGTACCTAATTTTGTACGAGCTAAAACTCAGTACATCAATATAAAGCTTTCCGTTTCATGAAATGTCAATTAGCTTCAGCATGATGTTATCTTCCCCCTTTTTTCTGTTGTCCCTCTTCTGAAAGCACACGAACGGTTATCCATAAGTCAATGACTAAAAACAGCATTTAACTATTACAAACTTTATAAATGGGCACAAATTCATTCGATGTGAGCTAATTGCAATATCAGTTGTTTTAAAAAGCCTTGTGATCGTTGCAAATTCTGGTGTATGACTCTTCGTTATGAGCAAATATTTAGAATAACAGGTGGTCATTATTTCGCAGTTACACATAACTAGCAGTGTCACATACTACAGTCCCGTTAATCACATGCCGACCAACATCCTATTTTTCATGCATTCATCTTCAGAACATATTTAACTGACAAGAATTTAACCCTTAAGTTCACCACCAACTCAACGTTGAAAAATTAAATGTTTAGAAAATAACGCAGATCTGAATGATAAGATAAGCACGATCACAACTTTTAGCATAGTACAAGTGACCTAATCTTTAAAATTCAATTCGTGTGCATTTAAGTACTTAGAACAGTACTATATGTTCATGACCAGTAACTGCTCTGTTATTCTAATATCTATATCATTTAAGTCTGGTCCTGTTCATGAGGTCATTCGTAAGAACAGTTAATGGTAAATCTCTCTGCAGCCAAAATTATTTGGCACCCAATACAACAAGTACGAAGCAGGCAATCGTTAGTAATGATGACCAATATGAACACCTCACAACCACAAGTTTACATAGGATTGCCATAAAAACACTTATTCCATTCACTTGCTCACCAGTACCAGGAAGAAAAGGTAAAAGTGGGTTTATAGATTCTGTTTGGGACACGTCAATCCAAAAGATATTTCAGACTAGATTAGTAAAAGAAGTGGTAGGGTGCAAGATAAGAAATCTAAAGACTTGATAAATTTAAGGTCTTTGCATCATACTTCATTTAAACTGCTAAACACGTCGTTATAGTTCTACATCGTGAAATGTACTTATATATTTATATTAGCCCTTCTATTAATTGAAGTTTCTAGGGATTTCTTATCCCAGTATTTCGTCGCTAAGCATATACAATACAAATGGTCTTAAACAACTAGATCAGAATTCGTTTGTTAATTGTATGTGTCTGTTGGAGCTTAAGTAGGTCTTACTCTGTAGATATTTGTTTCAGACCACCAGTATATCTTCAATATCAATCCTCATTTTAGTGACGAATCTCACTTGAATGTATGGTTCTGAGAAACTTTTGTCTTGTGGGTTGTACAGACCCGTGTAATGAAGTTGTTCGAGTAAAGGATGCATCAGGACACTGGAAAACGTTTTACGTGCGCGATAAGTTAGATACTGGGTATGTTTATAAGGTTCTCTAATAATGGAAGCTTTCAGTGGATTTAGCCAAATAGATCTCGTTTTTGACAAAGTGTCTAAAAGATCATTCGCTTTAAAACGTATCCTATGCCATTCAAAGGATGATGAAAGTAAGGCTTTAAAAGAAGCTAATTTCCAATTGAATCTCCCTGATCATCCCAACTTGCTTTCCTGTATCGCGAGTGGCCTACAACATGTCTCTAGACGTAAACAAGGAGCTATTTCAGAAGTTCTTTTGGTGTTGTCTTATAGCAAGGTATGTTTTAATGTATGTCAAATGAAGTATTTTAGCGAGGTACGTTGCAACGTGAAATTGACCATAGATCTGCACGTAACGTTATGTTCCCCCTGTACCTTATAAAGACCATGATGATTGGTATTTGCGATGGCCTTATTGCTCTTCTTTCTTTTGATATTCCAATGTCTCATCGGTAAGACAATTATACTTGTAGACATATTTCTCTATAGAGATATAAAGCCTGGGAATGTTCTTTTGTTTGAAGAAATGAGACCAGTTTTAATGGATTTTGGCTCTGCCACTCCCTCCATTCTTCCTATTGAGAGCATTAGAGATGCAGAAAAATGGAAGGTAACATTTTGTTACTAGATCTCGTTTTTCAAGGAGTTTGCTGAGGAAAACTGTTCACTAACTTATCGGGCTCCAGAGTTGTTTAATCCAATAACTTACGAAACCATAACCGAGAAAGCTGATGTTTGGGCAAGGACTTTCTTACGGCTTTTTATGCCTGAATACTTATTTTAGTCCCTAGGATGTCTCTTTTATGCTCTGATTTTTTTCAAATCCCCAATGGATTTCGTTCATGCGCGGGGTGATAGTGTTGCTCTTGCTGCTTGTTCAGCTAATATATATTTCCCAATAGATTCGTGTTCAAAGTAAGTGTTTTTTAAAGACATTTTATGGTTATCAAAATATTATCGTGATTTTGCGATGGCTAATCACCTTTTGATCCGATTTTAGGATACAAAATTATTAAAGTAGCGATATGAATAAATTATATCTTTGTTTTACATGCGATTTCAAGTTGCTTAATCTAATGCCCACGTTAAAACCTGGTCGATGAAGTTTAATCAGCTCTAAGAACCAGTCTAACATAATATTCGCCCCTCAATAGAAATTAGGCCCTCTAATTTAATCTGACATCATCAGCTATCGCCTTGTTCTTGGACCAAGTTTTTTAAGGTAACTCAATGCAATATTAACGTTGTTACGACTGTTCTGTTCTGTACGGTATACCACTCAATAAAACATTCTTTTTTACTCTCCTTTATTTAATTTTTCAGAGTTCCACCAGAATTGATAAAGTTAATGAAAGCAATGCTGTCCGCTAATCCTCAAGATCGTCCCTCACTTACTCAAATTGTGGAGTCCTTCAAAAACCTACCTGAAGAAATCATGTATTGTAACAATCAAAGTGCAATAACTTATTCTTTGTAATCTTGACTTAGTTTGACTAAATCCCACATGAAATCTAACCGTAAATCTTTCAATCTTCTACTCTTTCTCTATACTATTTACGAAATACTGAGAAGTCTTTCTAAACTTTTTACCTTAACTTTTATTCTCTGTACTTTTTAATATTCGACACAATATTGCATGGAATTCCAGAACGGTTTTGGCTTTTGGTCGAAAATGAAATATTACTAAATATTCCACAAATACATTTTTTGAGGGCTTTTATATGGCGGAGCACCCGAGCCGAAGCAAGATGCTGTATAGTGTAGTCGAGCTGTTAAGATTCATAAGTTAACTAGTTTAATGCAACTCAATCCGTAGGACTCATGAATGTTCATACTCGCAGAAGCAGTTTCATGAGTCCTGAGGTTAGTAACCATCGATTTCTATCTTACCTAGGTACTTATCAGATCATCTTAGTTGTATTATCACAAATAAAATCAATGTAAAATAAAATACAAGTTTGAATCCGCGTAGAACACAGCAGTGAACAAAGTCAAGACGACAAATACCTTACTATGAATAGTATCAGAAGCGAGGTGAAGTTTAATCTCGGACTGTTTCAGCTTAATGGACTGTCCGCGAAATTCCGTTGCATCCGCTGCTTAAAAAGTATTTTGTCTTCAATAACAAAATTATGGGGTATTTCGACACTTATTTGCTCGACGGATTGTTATTGTGGTGACCAGGTTTTAAAATCCGCAATCTATTGAATGATGTAGCGGAAAGGGTTACCAACTAAATAATTATTTTATGATATGCAGAAAAAACAGCAACTTACTGATAGCCAACCTTTGGTAGGTACGTTATTGTAAATGTCTTAGATTACAGTTTATGTGATTTGACAAACTCCAACCACCTATATCTATCTATGTGAATGTTTCGTTACGAATAAACTAAAAATGGCACGATTACTTGGCTAAATAAGGTAACTAGGGTGTTCAACTCATGAACTCTTCATCGTCCAATTTTGTCTAGTCTTTATGACCCGAACTTTACATCTAGTTATTAAAATGCTTTAGAATATGTACGCTACCAGCTGTCATCAAACAACATAAGAGGTATAATGTCTAGATTTCCCATATATAAATGTTCGTTGTACAAAAAAGTAATTATTGAATATAGAAAAAAAAATAAAATTCAGCACTATTATAAAAATAAACATATTATGTACAGGAAACGAAAAAAAAAGTAAACAATATAGTAAAGTAGAAAATAGAAAAACAAAAACTGAAACCGATAAAAAAATACATGCATTATTATTGGTCATTTTTCAACAATTAAAATAAACATTATGCTCATGTTCCTGAATGCTACTAGTAATAAACAATTGGATTAGCACAGACCAATTAATGGCTTTTAAAGTATATATATGTTAATCGAAGAAAAAACAAAATGGTTATATGAAAGACAGTTTTAATCTTACGAAGGGGATTAGTTACATATTAAAGAAAATGTTTTTAGAAAAATAATTAGTATAAATTATTCTAATACTAAATATATATAAATATTATATTGATTGATTCTATTGTCTTCTATTTATATCGTTTAATTAGTCTTAAATGAATATAAGCTACACACAAGGCTAAAATTGCAATCACAAGTATACCCAATTCATTTAGCCAAACTGCCCATTTTGATCGATATTCAATTGCTTGCGATTCTAAATACTGTACACCGCTAATGCTGTATAATTAAGTGAAAATAAATAAAAAACGTGAGAATAATAACAGATGTTTTAATTAAATCAATATCTTTTAAGTGTTGAACCAGCACATAACCACATGAAGTACAGGTGTAAATGTGTTGAAGATTATCTACTAAAAAGTATACAAACATAGGAAGTTTCACTGTTTTGATAGTTTTCAGTTCTATTGGAAAAACACTGCATTTCAGGTTAACAGGTTGATGCATTTCGAAACAGTTTACACATTTTATATTGGAGTGATCAGTGTGTATAGTTAAATTATTGTACCGTACAATCTACAGTTGATTTCCTATCTTCGAGGAAATATCTGTAGGTAGGAAATCTGGGTCGATATCTTACTACAAGCCGTTCCTGATAGACAACTGTTATTCATGATAACTATCATAAACAACCTAGCCAACCTTGAGATATCGTCGCTAACCATTCGGAATGTTTCGTCTAATGATTATGATAATATCCATGAGACTATTTTGAAAATAGATGGGGGACTCGTTCTTACAGGTAGTGATCTCACCAACCACCACAAGCTGTTTGTCACCTATGGAGAAATTCTCATGAACCACTTCTATTTGAGCTTTTGTGGGGATGACAATATCAGGAAAGACCGTGAAAGCTTCAGAATCAAATCATTCAGGTTACAGAACGCAACTGCACCAAGATTGTAGACCTTTATTACAAACTCGTGTTTCGATAATCTGAGATTGACAGTTGAAATGTAGAACATATATAAAAATATATACTCAAAGGTGTTTAAGAATTTACGTGTACTTACGGAAGCAAGTACACAACGAAAGAACGGGGGGTCTACAGGGTTTCCCGAACACATTCCCCATAAGTTGTTTCTGAAAGGAAGTACAGGATTCACAAGTGCGATCACTAAACATAGTGAACGTAACGTGGATGCCGCAAATGCGTTTCAAATGATCAACAAGTAGCATATGCCACCTTACTCCGCTTTTCAGAGACCATTTTCATTACGCGCTTTCAACCTGACCTTTGTATACAGAAAGTGATAGACCTCTAATCTCAATGGTAACGTTTCTCAACTACATTATCTCTATTGTACTTTATAAGTAAGAAAAATGAGACTGATATTCGCTCATGACGTTAACTTTAGTGTTACGTCAACTAGGTAACCATAGTTATCACTCATTTATTAGGAATTTGTTTTTTATTCATTGTTCTTTTATTATATATACACAACCAACTGAATTCGATTAAAAGGAGTATTAGATTATGTATTAGAAATATAGTTATATTACATTGTAATGATTTAAGAAAATAAGATAGAACTAATTACCATATAGATTCTAAATTTTGAATTTTTCCAATTCCAGTTTGAAAGTACTCAGTGTTTTTCCATTCATTTATCAATAATGATGTTACATTTGAATAAGGCGAATCACTTGCATTAATGCGATTAAAATCTACAGACGATAATTTTGAATAAGGTAATGTTGTTTCAGGACAAAATGTCATATCAAATAATTCATTTATTGTTAATATGTTTATAGCATAACGTAGTATTGAAATATAACGAAATAATTGAAGCCATTTCCATAAAGTTGATATGTTTACTAAATAACCACTCGTTACCTAAAAAATAAATAAACAAAACGTATTTTGTAAGGAAAAGTTAAAATAAGACAAACTTCATGAAATTGTGTGGTGATAAGAGATAATATTACGATAGTTTGGCATTATTCTGAGTAAGAACAGTAACTGCATAAAAGTGATGAGATAAAGTAAACTAGTGTACAATATGAGTAATAACTAGATTTCAGAGAGATACAATTCGATCAACAATTAGTTACATTCATTAAATTAACAAGCAAATACTGAGAATTTGAGCCTATTAAAAAGATAAACGGAGCTGTTACTCAATAGTCTGTAGTTTCAACTAGTTGATTTATCGTATAAAGCAACCATAAATAATTTTATTAAGTACCATACACTTGGTTACATTAATGATTCCCCAGCACCAATTGTTCAATATTGTAAAGAAAATTCCTATTTAACTTGTAATTAGTCGAAAATATCTTTTATAATTATTTTTCAATAACCAATATATGACCACCCAAATTCAATCAGGGGATATTTTTGTTCAGGTTAGTTGTTACAACTATTTCATTGCATATATCATAAATTAGGTGAATAGATTTCACTATATTCGTCCCTCTTTTTTCAAAGGATAAACAAGACGTAAAATATCTCAATAAATCCAATATTTCTGTTTGAGTTTCCCACTATTGACCATTTCAAACATTTACTTACTTACTTACGCCTGTTACTCCCAATGGAGCATAGGCCGCCGACCAGCATTCTCCAACCCACTCTGTCCTGGGCGTTCTTTTCTAGTTCCATCCAATTCTTGTTCATTTTTTCATGTCTATTTCCATTTCCCGGCGTAATGTGTTCTTTGGTCTTCCTCTTTTCCTTTAGCCTTGAGGATTCCATGTGAGGGCTTGTCTTGTGACGCAGTTGGGTGCTTTCCTCAATGTGTGTCCTATCCACTTCCAGCGCTTCTTCCTGATTTCTTCCTCCGCTGGGATCTGGTTTGTTCTCTCCCACAGTACGTTGTTACTAATAGTATCCGGCATTTCAAACATTTACCAACCTTTTATAACAATACCTGAGTACATACACTTAGCATTCATATCTATTCAGTTCAAATACATTTAAAACAGGGAAGTTATTTGCAATATTTGTATAGTTGAGAAATAGGTCGTCTAAACCTTTCGGCAGACTATTAAATTCTACTGTCCCCAAGATGATATCTACATACACTTTGAAAATGGTTTCAAAAAGTTATTATTCATCAATATTGAATATAAAAATATTGTCATTGGTAATGATGATGAAATAGCTATCTAATCGAAAAGTTCGTCTGTTTCTCTTTTGATTATACAAACTATAAGTTCTTTTTCAAAAAAAAAACACCAACTAAGAAAACTAATCGACTTATAAAACACAATCACCAAAGAAAAAAAACAACATGTTATTCCACAAAAATTTATATCTAACAAAATTTACTACACATACCATCATTAGAACAAAAAACATAGATAATAATATTGATCCGATTCGTCGATCATTTACCATTGCACTGACAGCAAATGTAATCGCTGATGCACAAAATGTTAGCAATCCAATAGTGAGTTGCCATAATAAAAATGGATATAATTCATAGCGAAGACCAGTTAAATAATATGTTATAGATAAACACAAAAAAGCTGGTATCACTTTTATTGGTAAAACATCCGATAAAATTTTAGAAAGAAAATATGCTGAAATACGATAAAATCCAGTTGATGTCTCATGTCTAATTATTGGAGAGAAAACAAATAAACAATAATCAATGAAATAATTATTTGTAATTTATTGTAATAACTGAAATGTTAATTAGCAGGTAAATTTAAAAAGAGATATGA